ACGGCGATCTGGATACCGTGCCGCGTACTGTCTTGCAGCTATAGCTGCATTTTGAAAACACTCGAAATAAATCGCAATCATGTCAACGGCTTCATTATTTGTGAGAGGCATTTTGATTAAAAAGTACTCAAATTATACGCAATCAACAATATTAGGCTGCGTGTGACAAAAGTTTGACGTTACTTGGCAATATTTTTGTTAGGCGATTGTCGTGTCCATGGCCTACTACTTGCCTTCTTATCGAAAGCAACCGATGCATTTTTAAATGGGGATATATGAATTTTCCTGGTTTAGTATTTTTTTTTAATAATTTGAGTTAGGAAAAAGATATTAAGATGCGGTTTGCGCAGGCTTATTGGTTGGTCATTTGTCTATTTTCTAGTCTAAAAAAAGTCATATCATCGCATTTAAATTTTTTGAGAAAATCCAATATTTTGGTTATAATATCGAATAACGCCCTCTATCGGCGGCCGTGTAGGTCGCAACTGTCATGATTACGAGAAACCTAAAAGCCCAAGAAATGCTCTTTTCAATGATACCAAATTTATCCAAATCCATTAAGCCGTTTCGAAGTTACAGGCATTTATTTCAAACAACATTCAAATACCCCCCACCACTTTATTTCGAAAGATAGAGAAAAATTGTTTTTACAAAAAATGTTCGACTTTAAGTTAACATTAAAACGCAAATACTTTTTTGTTACATTCATTGGGGAAAATCGCGAGAAACGTTAACTTTATGTAATTCAAGATGGTGGAAACGCCCACTGGCGGCCATCTTGGAAACCTGAAAATAATTTCCAGCATTTTCCCTTGCCCACTTTACCTATAAAAATTTTTTAACGTAGGTCTCTACGATCACTAGTTTCTGAGATACAGCCGCTTACCTCGCTTATTTGCCCACCCTGTACATTCGCAAACAAATACATCCAAAGCTCCTTCTAGTGGTTACAATTCGTTGGTTATTACAGACAAAATCATTATTTGAATGAGATTTGGGAAGCCTCACTCAAATTATACTCAATTTACTTGCCCGATTGTTATTATGTTTACCTAATTTAAAATTGAATGCTTCTAATTTATTGTTTTACTTAAATGCTTATTCTCAAATAAAGAAATAATAAACAAAGGTAAGGATCTAAATTAAATATACTTTTCAAGAAATAAATATTTTATTATGCATATTGTTTTTTTTTTCATTTTAACTTTATTTAAATTATTTCTATTTTATAATTTTTTTAAAAACTATACATATATTTAGTATTTTCAACTAAATAAATGCCTTATAAATTAAAAACTTTTTTGATTCATTTGATATAAATAGACGATTTAATTAGCTCTAATAAATTGTACTTCACATAATTAAATCCTATGTATTTATGGGATTACATATATACATACATGTACGTATACATGTTCGAAATATATACACTATACATCCATAATAATTATTTCAATAAAGTTACCAATTACTACTAAATTCGTTATTCATGGCAAATTTTTAAAACTTCTGAAAAACTATTCGGTCCAATATATTTTTTACAATTGTAGCTTCTAAACACAGGCATACAAAAATAAAATTTGATATACTTTTTAACAGAAAATGATATTTATCCTCTAAAAGCGATGGAGCCATCAGAAATGCACGTCGGGACTTTCCTTAACCTCAAAAATAGCTAAGAATTTTAAATTAAACATACAAATTTTTTAAGTTTTGCACTAGTTGCTCCACCATCCACTTGTATTTTGTACTTTTTTTTATTTACAACAACGTTTTTGAAACTTATCCTTGCAGCTTTTCTTACGTTGTTCAACAAAATTTTTATTATTCAACTTAGTATCAATTTGGGGTCCCGCAAATATTCCTTCTTTTAGTTTTTCATCAGAAAGCTTCGGAATTTTTTACTTAAAATAGTTTTCTTCTTTATTTAAAACTGTTTCATTAGACCAAGTTTAATAAGTAATGGCGGAAGAAGAACTTTTAATGGATCTATGAATGAGGCATTGGCAATATTTTTTGTTCCAGGATTCAAGGTTTTTTTGGCTATGTTTTCTTCTTGTAATGATTTTTCCTATTTCTACTTTCCCATTTCCGTAAAACTAGGGATATTTTGTATACCCCGTTTGTTACCCTAAAAGAACTTTTAAATCTTCATAAACTCGCCATTAATGTTCATCACATTGTTTCCTATTTAGATAGAACTAATTTCATATTATCGTACCCCTCTTTTAACCTTACTGAATGTGTTATAGGAATAGAAGCGAACTTATTCGTATTATGCAGAAGGACTAAGCTTCGTTTAGAGGAATCTATAATAAACAATCTCTATTCTTCTCCCTTATATCTGGCTTCAATTCATTCATCAGTCCTTGAACATTTGTGCAATATTCATGCATTTTTGAACAAAGATACTGACTCTTTGTTGCTTTCGTCGGATCGTTTTTCTTTCTTCATTTGTACTGCTAAATATTCATTTGTTGTGTCCATTGTTCTGAAATCTTTTTCTGTTTAGAAATTGGAATACAGTTCTCATCACTATCATCGCTTTCACTATTATTTCCACTTTCACTGTTAGATTGCTCGTGTTAATTGGATCAAAATAAAATTTTACATTCTTGCACTTTTTTTCTCTAAAATGCATCCTTGAAGAGTTATAGACATTTGAATGCTCAAAATTGATAAAAAAATAGCTGTAACTCTACAAGGAAGCATTTTAGAGAAAAAAGTGCATTAATAAAAAGTTTGTATTTTGACTTCGCGTTCAGCGGGTCAAAATACAGATATCATACTCTGTTAAAAAGAATATGAATTTTTTTTGTGTGTGCCTTTGTAATCATTAATCTTTTAATCTTGCAACGTACATTGGATTGCTCTTGAAAACATGTTATCTGATCATAAAGTAATAAAAATGTGGACAAAATAAAATGGAAATTGTGACAAAAATATTTGGTAATTCCCCTTGTTTATTTTTTTATATGTATGTTGCAATTTTTCGATATGTATGTCGCATTCCCTTAATTTTGTTGCTCTTCGTTGAAAATCATGGGGTTGTATGTGCGTAATTTCTATTATTCACTTATTCTTATCAATGAATTATTTATTGTATGACAATGTATTACTGATAAGATCTAATAATCAATAAAAATCATTTTAAATAATGACAGCTAATAAGACAGACACTGCGATAAAATTGTTTATAAAAGCTAAGACAAATTTTAAACATTTATTGTTATTGTATGTTGAAGTAGATACATGATGAAGTTTATTTTGGTATTGGTATTATCAGTGTGGGCAGGAACTGCATATTCTGAGGATTCTGAATGCAGTGAGTATTAATATTTAGTTTATTTCAGTGTAATCGAAACAACACTTAGATCTTATCTTACAGGGTGTTTTTGAGAATCATGGTGTTAAAATTTTAAGATAAATTCAAGATATTTGACGTGGGTTGGTGAAAAGTACGATAATGAGTTTTCTAATTGTTGTAATTCACTGACTTGCTTTAAATATCAACCAGTAGCGGAAATATTGGAGGTCATGGTTTTTATAAGCATGAACTTCAGAATTTCGACGCCATTGACATTTTTT